ACAAATTACTTACGTATGGGTTCCGGGCTCGATATTTTGAGGCCCAGTGGCACCAAATTATCATTAATAATTATGTATCTTTTTATAATTTAAATTCATATTTTTTAATAACTTAATTGTACAAATTACTTACGTATGGGTTCCGGGCTCGATATTTTGAGGCCCAGTGGCACCAAATTATCATTAATAATTATGTATCTTTTTATAATTTAAATTCATATTTTTTAATAACTTAATTGTACAAATTACTTACGTATGGGTTCCGGGCTCGATATTTTGAGGCCCAGTGGCACAAAATTATCATTAATAATTATGTATTTTCTTATAATTTAAATTCATATTTTTTAATAACTTAATTGTACAAATTACTTACGTATGGATTCCGGGCTCCATATTTTGAGGATCGAAATACCGGTAATAGATACTAAAACAAAAGGAATTCTAAGCTAAAATACTACACATTACTACGCTACAAGGCTCTAAATTTTACTACGCTAAAAGGGTCTACGTTTTACTACGCTAAAAAGGTCTAGATTTTACTACGCTAAAAAATAATCTAAACTAAACATAAATAACAAATAAATTTAATTGCAAATAAAACACAAAACGGCATGAAAGCACATATATATAAATGAGAATATTAACAGACAAATTTATTTGACAAATTTATATTTTTATATAAAACAGTAAAATTAAATCCGGATAAATTTAAGATGCTAATTTCGAAAATAAAACCACCAACCGAAATAGAACACATACAAATCAAATAATATGCATTATTATAAAAGTTTCAACTTAAAATAAATCGAAATACCTCGATTTAGAATTTTCGGAAAGCAAATAGATCGAAAATTTGACTCCGAAAGCGTGAATCAACAATAACAAGAAGCTCTACTCGAGTGTGGGACCTACGTTCTTCAAGTTTTATGTGCCGGGGGGACCCAAATTTTTTTTTTTTTTAAGTGGCGGACAGAGGGGGGACCAATTTTTGGGGAGGGGGATTAGAATAATGGAGGAAGAAGACGGGGGAAGAAGATGGAGAGTTTTTGGGGAGGGATATAACGCCACTATTTCTGGCGCTATATCACTGTCAGCGTATAACGCCAGAAATAGTGGCGCTATATCACTCTGACAGTGTATAACGCCAGAAATAGTAGCGCTATATATTTAACGGTGCTGTTACCGTTTATATATAGCGCCACTATTTCTGGCGCTATATATATTTTTGTTACCTTTTTTTTTTTACACCTATTTATATGTTTTGAGTCCAAAATAGCAATATTTTGGTTTCGGACTCTTCTTCTGATAAGTGTCAACTCTCCGTCCATTTGTCATGCTGTAATTGATGTCAGGATCCATGTGGCTTTTCACAGCCAAAGGCGTACTGCCTGACACCAAAACCAGACTATTTGCCTACACCTTCCCATGCTAATTACGTTTCTTCTTTTTCTTCCTTCTAAAAGTAAAATAGTATAGTTTAATGTATTACTTACTACTTACTAATTTATTTCGTTGTTTTGCCGTATTACTACATTGATATTTTTATTTAATTTTGTGGCTATTTCTATATCAACTTTCATTTTTAATTTTAATTACATAACATAAAAAAACATACTTTACTGTTGGCATTTGGATAAAATTTGATTAAAGTTGAAAAATAGATCAATTGAAGTTGAAGTTGAAAAATATGTATTTGAAAGTTAAAATTATGTTTGGATGTGAATTCTACTTGTAAAGAAGAAGTTAAATAATTATAAGTGAAATTTTTTATTTCAGTAGTTATGTCTCGTCCAACATTTGGACAATATTTATATGACAATATTAGACAAATATAAAGTTTAAAATTTGATTAGCGTGCAATGTAAAGTAGTTACACAATTTGACCTGATTCTATGCATATGAAATCACTTAGTTAATATCAAATTAAGAGTAATTAAAATGAGGTCATACACCCCCATTTCTATGTGTGCAACACTAAATAGAGAAATTGCATGTAATGATTTATAGTGGATTTTTTTCTTTTTTGAGTTTAACTGGCTAGATTGTATCATATTTGAAATTTTTAGTTGAAAATTAAAATCTTATCCGTCCAATTTTTTTTTTAAAAAATATGTTAATTTTTATTTTTTAATTGCAAACATTTCAATTTTCAATAGTCAAAAATGATAACCAAGTCCTCCGTAAGATCAAACAGGAGGACACATATCATCACTTATATACACATGTCAGCTTTTGTGTAAAATCAAGGCAGAATAGCCTGGGAGACACTTGTACTTGTTCCGGTTTGTCATCCCGGTCCCTACACTCCATAAAGTTTCATCTAGACACTTCAAATTAATCAAAACAAGACTTTTAAACCCTTCTGACCGTTGACCGGGCTTATGTGGCATTGATATGGCTGAGGTGGACAAAATAAGTGATTTACACGCACATTAGGTGCATGAGCTGATGATTTTTCTTTATTAAAAAAATAAAATAAATAAATAAATAAAAAATACTATTCTTCTTCTTCAGCCCCTACCGGGCCCCTTCGTTCTCCCCCCCACCCCACCCCTACCCTCGTCTTCTTCTTCTTCAACCCCTTCCCCCCTCGTTCAGTCCCCCCTCCCTCTTCTTCTTCTTCTTCTTCTTCATCCCTTTCCCCCTTTCGTTCTGCCCCCCCCCCCTCCCCCTTCCTCTTCTTCTNTTTATTTTATTTTTTGTTTAAGAAATTAAAATTTTGTTAAATAATATTATTTTGGCATAGAATCTGATGTGGATGCTGATTTGTCATCCACGTCAAGCAAGTGAGCTTCACGCGATTCCGAAGGGTTTAAAAGTCTTGTTTTGATTAAGTTGAAGTGTCTAGATGAAGCTTTATGGAGTGTAGGGACCGGGATGACAAACCGGAACAAGTACAAGTATCTCCCAGGCTATTCTACCTAAAATCAAAAGAAACAATAAAAGTAACGCTGGATAACTTAATGAAGCAGCTACAGTAAATCATATGTGGGAACCAACGAGAAACCAAAACTGGAGCAGACGACCCCAAAGATAGTAAAACTATCAAATATTACACTATAGAATGTCAATTACAATTTGATCAGTTCAAAAATTAATTAGTACTCTAATCTCATTTCTTCCACCTAAGTTGAAGATAAAGTTTTTACTATATTATGCAAAAATAATTTAAAAGTCATTAATAATTTATCGCTCTTGACATAGTTAATCTTTGGTGATACTATTTATGAAAAAAGTGCAACCTAATATCACAGTGTTTTCAGTGTACTATTTCAAGTAAAATAATAATTCTCACTTGCAAACCCTTCACCTTTTATTAGTGAAATCATTGTACAAGCCTAACTTCAACTTTCCAATACTTTTTTCCAACTTTAATTTCATATATTCATTTACAATTTCAACTAAATATCGTCCAAATGCCTACTAAGATTACATAAAAGCCAAAGTGATAGAAGGAATCGCTAGAAAGTAAAGATTATTGAGATTATTTGATTACGACAAAGTCAAATAGGTTTTCTCACTGAATTACCAAAAAGTTAAAGAAGTAAATTCTAATTTATACTTGCTAAAAATATTTATTGATGAGGTTTAACAAAAAAGGAATGGGACTTATAACGTCGTAGAAATTTTAATTGTAAAATACACAAAAATAAAATAAAAAGAGATAGTAAACTTTGTGTAACATAGCCAACTAATCTTGTATAGACAAAATGTAAAGTTGTTCTTTTTGATGCTAGAATAAACTTTTGAACTCCAATAATCTAAAGATTCTAAGTAAAATTAGAGAAAGTACAAATTAAAAATAAGAATTCCCCCCTAACTCTTTTTTTGTTTTTGTTTTTAACGCGGCTAATTGAGATTTAGTAAGGGCAAAACAAAGGCTCTTCTCAAAACAAAGGCTCTTTACTTCTATTCTCTAATATTTCATTTTGTTTAAAGATCTAGGATATAGTTAGTTGAGGTTTAATATGATCGAAGCTTAAAAAGAAAAGAAAGAAAAAAGTTATTTCTAGAAAATGTCATCCTTCTCTAATATCTCATGAATTTGCTTGAAATTTAGAGACTTGAAAACTCAAGGAAGGAACCTAAACTTCAAACATGAGTCCATCTAATTTTTAATCACAGGAAGACACAAAAAGTGAAAAATAACTAGAAGAATTTGATGATCAAACGTTAAAAATAAGAATTCTCGGCCAATATCTAAAGGACACTAAACAAAAATGGTAAAATAAAGGGGACAATTTCGTAGTAATTCTTAGTTTGTCGCACCAAATTTAAATATCTTTTTTATTTGAAATATGCAATTCTTTTTGAACAATTATATATTTTAGTTGGATTATTATATGAAAAATAAAGTTTGTTCTGATGTTAAAATTTATATCTTCAGGATGTATAATTTTGGCAGACATTAGTCATGCTATCTAGCGCAACTTGATCATTAAACAAGTTCCGTTCAGAATTTATTTTTTAGATAAAAATTTGAGACCAACAATAATATAATATATATATATATACTCTATTGTTTAGAGATATTATTGGGCCATGCGCAGCACGGAATATCCTTACTAGTATTCCTACTTATTAATAAGAGGGAATAGCACGCACCTTAAGGTCAACATGCGTAGGATTTACCGGATATTTTGGTCATATTCAAGTTTATTAGCTGACTCCTTGTATTAACAGATCAACACGTGGATTGCTTTTTTGACAGCTGCGAAGTAATTAACCTACACTTTACCAAAAGCTCTTGCAAACAGACGCCGCCCTTCTCTTGCTCATCCCTTGCTCATATGCTCTTCCCTTGCTCATCTTCTTCTGATCTTTGCACTTTGGCGGATTACTCTGGTAATTACTCATCTTTGTCTCTTTTAATTCTTCTACCATGACTTTCATCTTCCCTATGGGTTTCGTTTCACTTGCTGAAGTATGGGTTTTTATTTTTATTTTTAGAGTTTGAATTTATGGTTGTCATATGCTTTGAAAATCTTACTGCTTTTCTTGGATTGTTCAATTAGTTGGCTTTATTATATATTTATACCCACTTCAACATATTGATTCTTTTATATGAACTTTTATCTTTGGGTTTCTTTTCTAAGTTGTGAAAAATCGATGTTTTCTATGAAATTTCATCGGATTATACTCGCAGCATCTCTCCTCCTCTCTATCTTCTATCGAGTTTTCAATCATGTTGGTGAACCGAGTGAAATAGGCATTTAAATTAGGGATTTCTGTTCTCACAGTTTATTTCTCTCTCTTTTTTTTTTCTCTGGGTTCCATCCCATTAGTTTTTTTTCTTTTTGAGATACCCATCTCACTGACTGGAACACTTCTGAAATCTTTGATTTTCTGCCCCTCTCAGTGTAATTTCCTTACCAAAGAACTGAGCTTTTCTGATCTTTAATAACAACTTATTTCGCATATCCATATGTGCAATTTCTTGATCTTTTTGGCTGATTGTGCTATTGCTTTGGATGTTATTGAATTCGAATTCTATTGAAAAATTCAAAGTTTTCCAGGGCCAAGAACTGAAATGGAATATCAAGATTTTGTTTGTGGATTTTTGATAGGTTGTATCACCGTGAAGAAATGGTGTTCATAACAACAAAAAGCCAGCTGCAGCTTAAGCCCCAAAGTTAACTCCTTCTCACTGTAAGACCTTCTTTGCCACCTCATTTGTATTCTTTATGATTATTTTTGGTTGAAAATTGTATCGACATCTGTTGATTTTGCTCTCTTAATAAAAATTTGGTTTTCTTAATGGATATTATGCGTAGTAGGGCTAGGTTCATGTTGATTTTTGTTTTACCTAAACCCGTGGTGCTGCAGTTGTAGTATTTATTTTCAAAATTATAAGATCTCAATTCATTTTCTTTTTTTCATGTGTGTTTGAATTGAATATGAAAGTAGAGTGAAAAGAACCGTGATTTGACTTTGTATAATTGCTCAACTTCAAAGGATTTTGGCCTATGAATTTCACTTAGCATGCCAATCGTATTAACATCTGCTTTTTTTCTCCGTGTCACCAACATTTCTTGAATATCTTTAATCAAGTTTTCGATTCTTTCTTGAAGCAGGGAGTTCCAACACTGAGAAATGTAGTGGTTAAAAAATCCAAATCCAACTTTTACTAGAAATTCCTAACTGTTGCCAAAAAAATTTCAAGTGTATTTTACGTATATTTGCTGCCTCATATTTGTAATGTGGGATGGTTTGTTCTTGCAATTTTACAGTTACCAATATGCAGGTTATATTGATAAAATAGAAGAAAGACTTAGTATTAGTGAAATTACACCACTCACTACAGAATGGACTTGCAAAGTCCAGGCTGTAGACAAATTTCGGCCACGAGACAGTAGAGATCAACGAGTTCGTTTTCAGACAATAATTGTCCAGGATGTAAACGTAAGTCAAGTTACAACTATAATTGTAACATAACATCTTTTCGCTTGTATTCTTCCAATAATTACTGCGTTATCATTCTTAATAACATTGTAGGAGGAACAAATTTGTGTGATACTCTATGGTGACGATATTAGACGATGTTGATAACTTGTTCGAACTTTTTGAGACATATCTGATTTCAACTGCCAAGGTTAGAAATCTGCAGCCTTATTCACTACATATAGGCCAGTTTGAATGGATCGTTGACTGATTTACTATTGTGGAGTCTATCCCAAAAAATAATGAAAAGGAGGCACCATTACCTCCTCCGTTGAAACTGAGTATGATTTCGTTCGTCGACGTTAAAAAACAGCCTTCCGGTGTTGAATTTGGTATGTTTCAAATTACCCTATGCCTTGTAACAGCTTAATTTGTTGGAACTCATGGTGAATGCAAGTATATTGGTTTTACTTACATTTGTTTTTTCTTTATAACAACAGATCTATTAGCTGTGGTGGCAAACTGTGGGGCAATGCAATACACCGCTGATCAGAGTAAGAGATTTCAAGAAGCCATAGTTATGGACAAAACGTGAGTCATTTAATCTTCTATTACATAACAAAATTTCTAGCTGACACTTATAAAAGTACATGTACAGGAAGAAACCTCTTTTCTTCACTATATGGGAAGACTTGGCAAGTAATGAAGGAGCTGAGTTACTGAGACAAGTGAGGCAACTACAAGAATATCCTGTTATTCTCGCGAAGCGGATAGGTACAACAAAATACCGTGGTGGTAAGTTCATGCAGTTCCTGTTTCTACATATGGATAATGTTTCCGCGTTGGTTATTAACAAAATTTGCATACGCAGTTTCCCGTTTGGCAACAAGATACAACTCAACAATCTTAATCAATCCCCTATATGTGCAAGCAACTGAATTACGAAATTGGCACAATAAAACTGTGCCTAAAATATACCACATCATTATTTAACTATTATTTCTTCTGTGAAAAAATAATTATCTGACATTTCCCGTGCGAATTACAGGATAAATCAGAACAAACAAATGCTAATGGAATACACAGTGAAAAGTTCAGCGGAGTCAGCTTCATCGCTTAATCTTGTAGCTGTTGACGATGAAATATTATGTGTTTCAGCTATTGCTACGCAAACTTCCACTGTGAGTTCATTAAATTACAAAATATTTTACTTGCATAATGATGCGCTTACTATTTTGTTGTTGGTGCGTCCTGGGATTGAAAGGTATAAAAATGTATTTGCAGAATTGATCACTATATTACATCCTATTTGTATCATCCTACGTTATCTTAATATTTGGAAATGATTCAAACAAAAATATGCTAAAAATGGCTGTTTGAGGTAAGTGGGGAGGGTGAGTCTGGTGAATTTAATTTTGCCTTATGGTAGCTTGAAAAGGTAAAGTAAAAATCATAATTTTTGTTTGTCTTACGTTAAAAAAAACTAAGAAATGTTGGTTGGATTAGCTGCTGTTAAAGTGTCACATCCATTGGTAGTTGAATATGGTAGTGGGTATAATAGGAAGTGGCATTCTTTAATACAGTAATTCTCAACGAAAAACTAACAGTGAGATAGGAGGTTGATCAAGATTGGTTGTACTTTTGTTGTTCCATATAATTACCGTTGTTTCATTAAAAATTTGTGCTTCACTTTTGATATGCTTGATATGAAAATATTAAGAATTTACTTTGCACAAGTGACAGATCAGATATCCGCTTGCTTGTTTTATTTTAGAAAATGGCGATCTCTGCATGTTCTATAGGAAATCTAAAAGAATTATATTCTGCCAACTATATGTTCCTCTCTTTCACTCTTTTATTGTATACCCCATTCTTGTTGTACATTCTTTCTAATATTCCGTTAGATTTTACTGTCACAACACACTCCTCATGAGGTTTTACTAACTATGCAACTTTATATTATTTCGTCGCTGAAAATTATGTGCAATTAACAATTGATGATTTAGTAAGTTCCATTGCTTATGTTGTAAACATAAACCTAACGACTTGTTTCATTATTTACATTTTGCAGGCGGAAATTTTTTACGTCGAAGTAGAAATTTCGCTACCTGAGCATTACCAACGATTTTATCTGCTAGGTTGTTCTGAATGTAACCATCTTGTTCGGAGCAAAATAAAAAGGGAGATTCAATGCATAAACTACAGGCTGCCACGAATGTTAATTCCAAGGTAACAACTGCTACTAATAAGATTATGTCATTGACAATATTTGATATTGTATGACATCCATTGTACCTCAACCGAAATAATTTACAACATACATATCATATGTGCCACTTTGAGGTAGAAATTACAGACGAAACTGGCACAACAACAACAACAGTGTCTGAAGGCTTGGACGAAAGAATGTTATCAATGAGAGCTGAACAGATATATGATATCATCAGTGTTAAGGTACATACACATACAACATTGCAGTTAACATAAGTCAACAAAGTTACTACTTGCAGATAAACTGTTCAGAGTTCAGCTACAAAGGTCATCATCCAAAACACCGGACAAAAATGCAGGTTCTCTGGTTCTTTTATCATACACTGAAAAACCAACCATGTTTCTACCAGAAGAGTCAACATCTGTGAGTGGTGCCGACAGAATTATGGAAGAGGAGCCAATACTTGTGACTGATGCAAAAGCAACTAAGAAACGGAAAATGGAACCAAGTACCACTACCAAAGCCACAGTCAAGGTTAGAAACTCAAATACCATATTTCACCATGTACTAATTTTCTTAAAATGAATATTTTATTTGTACAGATTGTCGAGGCAATGATGTTCGCTCAGACGGTATGCGATGTACAGACACATTTTGACAAATTATACCGATCTTTTAACAAAGTTTAGATAGTTGGCCGCCTTAACAAAGTGTTCCACATTTTTTGCGTAAATAGTTGTCAGTAGTGTGTGCTTATGTTTTTGAAGGCAATTGATATTATTTTTTGGATATTGGAGCGGCCAGATGTTGTAGAATGACATCTTATAATTAGGATCCATATACATTTCCGAAATTGTGGTACCAGTCTGTTTATTGAAATGTAGAAATTGAATGTAGTGTTGTTGCATGTCCTATCACATTTAAGAAGTATTATGAGCTGGTTGACATCAATGCTATAAACATGCTGTTCTATGCAAAGATTCAGTAATTGCTATGAAGAATGTATCTTTAGGTTTGAGATTGAGTAATTGCTATGAAGAATGTATCTTTAGGTTTGAGATTGAGTAATCTGGTGCCTTTAGGCTCAACTAGATCTTGGATGCATGCTAATTAGTACCTGTATTATGTGAAACTGAATGAATTCAGCATTGATCTACTGTTTTCACACCAAGATGACGGGATGATGATAGCTAGCCATACAACAGCAGAAGTAACCAGTAACATAATTTTGATACCTTGATTTAATCATAATTTTTTTAAGTGTTTAATCTAATACAATATATGACAAAACAATGTATAATTTTCTTCATATTGGGCCCGGGCCCTATCCCTACTAGTACTTATTAGAAGAGGGAATAGCAAGCACCTCAAGGTCAACATGTGTGCTTCTTGAAATTAAAAGCCAACCTGAGGGTACTTCTTGAAATTAAAAGCCAACCTGAGGGTACTTCTGTCATTTCATTTCATAGATATTCAGTGCATCTGTGTTTCTCTGTATAGCTTAACACGTGGGGTTCTAATTTTAACGTGTGGCAGCGACCGCTGGTTTTTCATCTCAATCTAATACTCCTTGGAGAAGATCATCTCAATCTAATACATCTGCTCTCTATCTCCTCTTGTTCTTAAGTTCGCACAGTGTTCTCTTCCATCGATCCTATTTTGTGGTGGATATCTCTTCTAACATCTTTTTGATTCATCTTTATTTGTATTTCTATCTATTGATGAGGAACATCAATGTCTTTTGTTGTTTAGGTGTTTGATAAAATTCTTCAATGTTATAAAAAGTTGAAATAGCAACGTTAATACTTTGAAAAGAATAGAAACGATGTCTTTGTTCTTTCTCTTTTCTGCTTGTTTCAATTTTGGTTTTTCTTTCTTGCACTAAATTATTTCTATTGGATTAACCGGGTGTTTATCTCTAAGATTGCAAATGCTTTATCATGTAATTGGTGTCTTATTTTTCTTCTGAGTGAATTATAAGGAAGGCATCCATATTTTGCACTTTCGGTGAAGATAATTTTTTTGTTTTTTGTTCTCTCACTACTTCAGGAGAAGGTATAAACTAACCGTGCCCACTAACAAATATTAAATTGAAGTTTATTGCATCAGATAGCTATAAATAACCTTGAATCAAATACATCAACATATGGCTCCAAAGAGCACAAACAGCTGGATAGGTTCACATTTGACTGACGCTGCACCGTTTGGTGTATAGGCACTGTAGAATTTAGTATTGTCTTCTGCAAGAGTTTGTTACTTTTGTTATGCGATTTTTACGGGAATGGGAATAGCAGCTTCAACAAACTATTGACACTAAATATATTGTAAGAACCAAATGATTGACACTAAATATGTTCTAGGAACTCTAATTTCATCAATAAGGACTGGTAGCTAATGTTGTTATAATAGGTATTTGGATCCATGAAGAATTAAATTGAAGTGAAGTTGGTTTCATGTGCAGTTATCTTTCTGCGACAGGACTATATATAACTCCTCGGTTAGATTAGAGAACTTGGAAGAATAACAACTGAAAGAGGAAGACTACTTTCAAGAACTTTAGGCAAGACCAAGGTCAAGAGAAGTTTATATTATATATTTCTCAACCTGATAAAAAAGAACCTCTTTCTTAGTTCGATTTATCATAAAGTTAAGATTAACTATGCTTGTTCTTTTTAATGAATGAATTGACCTTTTTTGGGTTCGGGAATTAGTTAAGTTTGTATTTAAGCAAGTTTCCTATAGGCAATCATATTAAATAGGGGCTGAACAATAAAATAGCATTATTTTTTCATAGTTTTTAGTATGTCAGAACAGTTTGAGGTTCTAAGTTTTAAAATTGGCATATAGTTTTAGAATGGTAAATTTAGAACCTAACATATTTTAAATGAAATAAATTTATTGTGGCTCTATATTGCATTTGGTTACCTTTATATTGTAGTAGAATAAGCAATAAACTGCAGTGCTTAAAGTCTACTAAAGTACTTTGTTGTTTGCTTTTTTTGAACTATTTGAAAAGCAGATATCCCGCTGTAATAAGTCTGTGAAGAAATGTTTTCCAACCAAAAGAACAAACGTGCATGTATAGAAGATATAAACTCTGAAAAGAAACTAAAGCGACGTGATGCATATGGAAAGATATCAGCTGATGAAAAAGCAGCAATGTTATTACAACGACGCATCAAAAAATGGAGCTAAAAAAGTGCAATGGTTGCATTAAATCAGTTATTGATTGTCCAACTGAAAGAATAAAGTGTCCACGTGACAAAATATTGTCAAAACAGACTGCTCTTACTATAAGAGAGTCTTCTTCTGGTAATGCCAAAGGTTGGATGTCAAATTGCTTCTTCTTTGCTTCTGTTACTTTGCTTGAATATTCACTTAGTGTTAAATGTGTTCCATATTTTGTGCAGTAAGCACCAACCATGAAACTAATATTTTATCAGCTCCTCCTGATAAAGGAAAAGACGTCGGTCCCTCATTCTGTGTGTTTGCAAGAGGTAAGGCTACAACATATACCTTTAACTTTGTTACTTCATCACCTCATAGGTGTGCATTTAAATTAATGAAATTGACGCACCAGGAACAACATCTGGTACATCTAAGGGACAACAAAATGCCTCCATTGAAGTTGTTACCAACAAAGGTTAGTCTTAATCGTTCGACTAACATTACTCATTATTTGAATTTTTGGTCACTTTGTCAAAACAAAGTGCACTTACTATAAGACAGTCTTCTTCTGCTAGTGTCAAAGGTTGGAATGACATAATGGGTTTTTAATATTTCTGTTACTTTACCTGAGTACTAACTTAATATTGAATGTATTTCATATTCAATGCAATAGGTGGCAGCTATGAAGTTAGTAGTTTATCAAGTTCGTTTAATAAAGAAAAAAGTATCTCCAATCCATTCTGTGTATTTGAAAGAGGTAAAACTACAACCTCCAGCTTTATCTTTGTTACCACGTCATAACTTAGGCTTACATCTAAATTATAAGAATTTTTGTTTCAGGATCAACATCTGAAACATGTAAGAGTCAACAAGATGTCTTCCCTGAAGCGTTTTCAAACAAAGGTTAGCATTACTTTTGTGTTAAAGTAACATTATACAATAGTACAATTTATCTCAATGTTTACTTTTATCAATTCTCATAATATGAATATTCACTTACTCTGAAATGTGTTTCATATTTTATGCAGTAGGCACCAACTATGAAATTCCTACTTTATCAGCTATTTTTGATAAAGCAAAGAACGCCGGACACTCATTTCGTGTGTTTGAAAGAGGTAAGGTTACAACCTCTACCTTTAGCTTCGTTACTTCATCATGCCATAGCCGTACATCTAAATTAAATAAATTGAAACACTAGGATCAACATCCGGTATATCTAAGGAACAACAAAATGCCTCCACTGAAGTTGTTACCAACAAAGGTTAGTCTTACTTTTACGTTCTGCTAACATTACTCATTATTGGAAATTTTGGCTACTCTTTATTTTTAACAATATTTATAACATACAGGTTATAGATTGAACAGAATAGTCTATATGAAAAATAATGAAAACAGCTTAGATTATGCACGTTTAAGAGCCGTTCAAAATTGTAAATTTTGCAACGCAAAAAGGTTTCAGTATGAACCACCTGGATTTTGTTGTGGCAGTGGGTCAGTAAAGTTAGTTTCATATCAGCTACCTAATGAATTATCAGATTTGTACACAGGCAATAGTGAAGAATCTAAGCACTTCCGAACGTATATTAGAACATACAATAATATGTTCGCGTTTACCTCACTTGGTGTAACCAATGATAAAGATTTAGCAAGGAGATATCATGGTATATATACATTTCGAGTTCAAGGACAAATGTATCATTTTATACCTGATTTACTTCCCTCTGATAAAAAAGTTAAGAATCTGCAGTTATACTTCTACGATAACGAAAATGAACTTGCTAATAGAATGGCATGTTCGATGAATATCAACGAATCAATTGTCAAGAGACTTATGAATGTTCTAGCAGTTAATCCATACTCCATCTTTCTGAAATCCCTGGCAAACGTTCCGAAACTATCTGATTCTTATATCGCACTTAAATGTGATCCATGTCTAGATCAACGTGTATATAATTTACCTACTGCAACAGAGGTAGCTGGAATATGGGTTCAAGATAATTCTGCTGATATTGTTTCTACGCCACATATACGAATATATACCCATAGTAATAAGACGCAATCCGTGAATTACTATTACGGATGTTATGATCCTTTGCAATACCCACTATTATTTCCTTATGGTCAAAACGGCTGGCATTGTGGTATTAAAAAAATTGCACGGACAAATCAACGTTATTGCGAACATGAAGAATTACCAAGTGTGAAGAACATGTGTTCCATCGATGGATTTCTTGACATGGAAGATCAGGTCCTGAAAAAAGGAAAACGAAAAAGAGAGACGGTTTCTTGCCGTGAGTATTATTGTTACAAATTGCAGATAAGAGAGAATGACAAGAACGAAGTATTACATTGCGGAAGATTATTTCAACAATTCATAGTAGATGTGTTCATAAAGCTAGAAACAGAAAGACTAGATTTTTATTTTTTTAATCAAGATTTGTTTCGGATAGATATGCTACAAGGAATTATTGATTTTCTAAGACTTGGTGAAACTGAAGCTTCCAAAATTGGGAAAAAAACATTCCTTCCTGTTACTTTCATAGGAGGGCCGAGAGATATGCGTCGGCGGTATATGGATGCTATCGCATTAGTCCAGCGTTTTGGAAAACCTGATCTTTTTATAACTATGACATGTAATCCATCTTGGCCAGAAATAAAACAACACTTGTTATCAACTGACGAAACTCAAAATAGACCTGATTTAGTATCACGAGTATTCAGGGCAAAAGTAGAGGAATTGAAAGCAGATATTTTGAAAAGAAATTTTTTTGGAAAAGTTGCTGCTTTTATGTATACTATAGAATTTCAAAAACGTGGTCTCCCACATGCTCATTTTCTGATCATACTTAGTGATGAATATAAATTATTAACACCTGAATCTTATGATAAGTTTGTCTGTGCTGAATTACCTAATGCTGATACCGAAAAGCATCTTTATTCCCGTGTGCTTCAACATATGATGCATGGACCATGTGGTGACTTAAATCCCACAAATTCATGTATGGGAAAGCCTCTGCAAATTCAACTATCCGAAAGATTTTGCTGAGCAAACATCTAAAGGAAAAAATTCATATCCAATTTATAAGAGACGAAATACAGGAAAACTTGTACATATAAGAGAACAATATTTAGACAATTCATGGGTTGTCCCGTACAACCCTTATTTGCTTTGTAAGTTTGATTGTCATATCAATGTTGAGGTTTGTTCGGATATTAAAGTTGTGAAATATATTTACAAATACATTTGTAAAGGACATGATAATATTGCTTTTTCTGTACATGGCAACGAAGAAATAGATGAAATCAAAGAATATCGATCTGCTAGGTGGGTAACACCCCCAGAGGCAGCATGGCGTTTGTTTGATTTTTCTATTAGTGAAATGACTCCGAGTATTTATCATCTTCAGTTACATTTAGAAGGGCAACAATTTGTTTCTTTTAAAAGTACTGAAAGCGTGAATAGAATATTAAATAATCCGATGATTAGAAAAACAATGTTACCTGAATTTTTTACTATGAATAGCAATGATGAACATGCTAAAGATATGCAATTACTATATAAGGAATTTCCAGAACACTTCGTATGGTCTCCGGGATATAAAATGTGGACACGTCGACAAAAACGTAATGTAATTGGACGTGTTGTGACATGTCATCCAACAGAAGGGGAAAGATATTATCTTAGGTTACTATTGATGAATGTAAGAGGACCAAAATCATATGAAGATCTTCGCACCGTTAATGGTGTACCTTGTAGTACATTTAGAGAATCTGCAGAAAAAAGAGGACTACTATACTGTAGTAATAGTTTGATTGAATGTATGTCAGAGGCGGTAAGCTATCAGATGCCATATAGTTTGAGACGTTTATTTGCAACATTGTTAGTATATTGCAGCCCTACTAATCCAAAAGAATTATGGGAAATGTTTGAGGATTCAATGTCCGAAGACTTTAAGCGTTTCTCGAATATCATGACACAAAGTGTTCGACATAACGTCTTAAGCCATATCAACGATATCTTATATTCTATGGGCCATGACATAAATGAGTATAAGCTTGTTCCAGAAAATATTAGACCTTCTGTGACTGCAAAGGATGCAAAAGATGTTCATTTTGAGAGAAACATAATTGTTAGTGAAGAAGACTTGTTGTTACCAACGAGATTGAATGGCGAACAATGGCGGTCATATAACACAATAATTGATAGAATATCTTCTAAGCAATCAGGAGCTTTTTTCATTGATGGTCCCGGCGGAACAGGTAAAACTTTCTTATATCGTGCATTATTAGCAACTATCAGGTCTTAAGGATTTATAGCTTTAGCAACTGCAACTTCTGGGTGTAGCAGCTTCCGTCCTTCCAGGGGGACGGACTGTTCACTCACGTTTCAAAATGCCAATAGACATAGATGATAACTTCTGCTGCAATATTAGTAAACAAAGTTCACTTGCAACCTTGATTCGAGATGCAAAACTAATTGTATGGGATGAAGCATCGATGACAAAAAAAACATGATTGAAGCTCTTGATGCACTTCTTAAAGATATTATGGATGTGAATACATTATTCGGAGGTAAACTAATTGTATTTGGAGGTGACTTTAGGCAGACTCTTCCAGTTGTTCGCAACGGCAAAAAAGAAGATTTTATTCATGAAAGCTTGTTATATTCTAATGTTTGGAATAAACTTGAGAAAATGCATCTATCAAAATATGCGCGCAGGAACAGATCCATCTTTTTGTGAATATTTACTTAGGATTGGAAATGGAAAAGAACCAACAAACTGTGAAAACAAAATTGAGATTCCTGATTCTTTTGTTATTCCTTTTACTACAGAAGAAGAATCTTTAGATGTATTATTTAATATAACATATCCCAATTTACATGCATTTTCCCCTAAGTCATCTATGTTTACTTCTCGTGTTATTTTAACAACGAGGAATGATTTTGTGAATGAGATAAATAATATGTTAATCACTAAATTCCCAGAAAGGGTTACAACATTTGTTGCAATTGATGAAACTATTGAACCGAATGATCAAAGTCAATTTGAAGATTTCCTACATAGTTTAGATCCTCCTGGTCTACCTCCTTATAAGTTAACTTTAAAGGAAAATTGTCCAGTTATATTGTTACGAAATTTGAATCCCTGTGAAAGTTTATGCAACGGTACTCGATTAACATGTTGTGACTTTAGAACACACGTCATAAGTGCTAAAATTGAAAGCGGTGACTTCAAAAATACACATGTGTTTATACCGAGAATACCATTGTTAGCATCACAAGACGAGAAAATACCTGTTCAGTTTAAGAGAACACAATTTCCTTTAAGATTATGCTTTGCTATGACGATAAATAAAGCTCAAGGTCAAACATTAGATTTTGTTGGAATCTATTTACGCGAACCTGTTTTTTCACACGGCCAACTTTATGTTGCTTTATCCAGAGCCAAAAGCTCAAAATGTGTCAAAGTATTGATTCGTCCACCTAGAACAAACGGTAATGACCATTCGACACATAATATAGTATATGATGAAATTATTCAAAAAGCCTTCTCGTCAGTAACCTACTGATGACTTTGATTTTGTTAACTTCGTGGAATTGTTCTTTTGGATTCTTTGCTCCTACTGAAAAGTAATGGATTCAATAAAGGACACTCTGGTGTTGCAATTGAAAAAAAAATAAATTTTTAACTCCGCCTGTGTTGTAGTATAACTACAACACAGCCGGTCCCAAGCCCGGACAAAGGAGGAGGGTTTTTCAGTTTATTGCAAGTTAGATCCTTCACTACTATATTTTCATTTGTAGGTGTGTCAAAGAGATCCTATAACGTGAAATGCTTCCACGTGTTGGTACTCAAAAATTCTACGACACTAGCCAAGTTATAATAGAGTACTTCTATTTTCCAGCGTAGATATTGTTTCAATTCTTGATTTTGTATTGGATATTTCAACGATCTGATTAATTCTACTATTCAAAATTATCCAACAGCTTGGAGAATTTCTAGATCATCTTTAACTCATTATTCTTTTCCTTCAACTATTATGATACATACTAATAATTAACATCATATATATATATTTGAAGGAAACTAAGTTATTCAGTTTATAACGAATTACATCTTTCACTGCTGTATTTTTATTTGTTGATTCGATTCTACTCTTTCTGATTTTATTCTCCTTTGTTAAAAAAATTAGTTCTTTTCAATCAGTGCTTTCTTATTTTGTAATTACAATTTTACCACAAGTTTTGATAGCTACTTGTATTGTTTTCTGTTGTGTCTTGAAGATAAATAAGTGCTTTCCAATTGTGTTGAAAAAGATAGCAGTGGTAGCATGTATGGCACTCCAAAAGGGCAGCAAATCAGCCGGAGAAATTGGACTAAGCACATGTTTTGCGCTGCAGTCATTTTCAGTCTTTGCCGTGAGCTCCTATGTCATTTCTTTTCTGGAATCGTGTCGAAAAGAGTCTCCTAATTGTAATAGTTACATTTCAGCAAACCACCAATGTTGTCAAAACAAAGTGCACTTACTATAAGAGAGTTCTCTTCTGCTAATGTCAAATGTTAGAATGGCATATTGGATTTTCTCTACTTCTATTAGTTTACCTTAATACTAACTTAGTGTTGAACGTATTTCATATTCAATGCAGTAAGTGGCAACTATGAAGTTAGTACTTTATCAAGTTCTTTTAATGAAGAAAAAAGTATCTCTCGTTCATTCTATGTATATGAAAGAGGTAAAACAATAACGTCCAACTTTATCTTTTGTTACCACGTCATAACGCTAAAACTTCCCCGTGAAGGAGATGCTTTCTGGTTTGTAGCTATGATCATTCTCTTTATGAATTATTTTCTAGCTACGACCATTCTCTTAGTGAACTATCTTCTCCATCTTTTATTAATCGAGCTGAAGCTTAATTTTGAGATTACTGATATGTATAACTTATATCATAGCTGAAACCATTAATCTGTAATTTTTTCTTTGTTTGGTAACAGCTTGTATAGAGGATATATAAAATCAGTATAGTTTTTGTGATACAAGACTGGAGGGATAATGGTGTACTCGCTGCTTCTTAAAGATTTGATGTGTGCATAATCTCTGCACTTTTAATGCTATATTTGCAGAATTTCTTTAAACAGGACTATTTGGCACATTGTAAACTAGATTGCTTATCTGCATAAGTTAATAAGATACTGTAGCTGCTCTCTGTATGTAATAACCCTTCTATGTTGGTAAGATTTTGTGAAGTTATTCTTGCTTGATCTGCTGCTATATATCAAGAAAGCATCTTCTACATGGCTCTTAATTGGACTTCTCATTTATTTGATGGCATGCTTTACCATAGTAAGTGTTGTAGACTTTTACTTGAATGAAATATCAAAAACTTAGGTTCAGCAGTGAAAACTGGAATAATGAAGAACAATACAAAATTGCAACTAATAGACAAAGAGTCTATCTGAGAGACCAAAATAAAGTAGAACTTGAAAAGTTTACAGTTGTGAACCAAAAAGGAAAAGTTATCTTTCTAGACACTAGCTTGATAATACTTCTTGTCAACACGCATGATTGTTTAAAGGTATCTTGGAGCTCTCGCAATTCTGTCCACTTGACTTGATCTATAATTCTTCTACGTTATCCATTTAATAGAAGGGAGACCATAATTGCTTTTATGATTAAGCAAATAAATATATTTCTATGTTTTCTTAGCCTTTTTGTATCATTTTGAAATGACAACACCATCATGTATCTACTACGCAATTTAGAAAATAATTAAATCGGTGTCCTGTTGAAATGTTGAAGTTGATTAATTTGACAATTTAAAAGTGAATGTCCATGCATCTCTGAAGTGAAGTTCCTAATGTTGATTATTGTACGATGTACTTCGATTTATCTTGTTAGTTTGTTTTGCCCATTGGAGGCTTAATTGTTCTGAAATTTGACATTTGAGTAGAACACTTGATATGGTAGAAAATATTGGATTAACTTTTTATTTCCTCTGCAAAGCCGATTTCCACATTTCTGACAGTTTTTTACGGACAGTAATATTCAACTTCGGGTGAGTTCAGTTTTGCTTTCACATAAGTACACATGATGTTATTTTCTGTTTGATGATAGAGAAGCGCTTCTGGCCCAAACATTCTCACGTAATCAGAATTGACTCTTCCCATGATGATAATATTTTCGTTGATCACACCTTCCTTGTACGTAAACACACAAAATTGTGTAAAACCTGAATTGGCTATCATAATTGGGCCCGGGCATAGCCCGGGCTAATCCAACTAGTTTATAAATATGAATAAACAAAAATAGCAAAAAAGAATACACGGAGTTTAATTAAAATTAAAACACAAATGGTATCTAGTTGCAGTCTTGCACTGAAAACATAATAAATAAATAAATAAATAAATAAATAAATAAATAAATGAAGTTGGTAGAAAAGTTCATGCTGGAATTAAAGACGGCCATTTGGTCAACTGGAATTAAGTGTTGGGAAGTAAAATCACCATAATTACAAGATAGCCTTATGGCAAGATAAATATTCATTCAAAGGTTTTTCCAATGGCCAAATACATATACAACCCATCCAACGTGGCATTATTTTTCACTTTGGCACTTTATCTCTATCTTGTTCCATTTTGGCCTCCAGCTCATTTTATATGTTCCATTTTGGCCCTCCAACTCTATTTCTTATGTTCCACTTTAACACAAAAGCTAAAACCAGTACAAAAAAAAACAGCGCGTGTGTATACACAAATCTAAGTTGTAGTAATATCCAACTAAACGTTGCCACCTGGTTTTTTCATCCATGTCAAACAGGTCAATACTAAAATACCTGAACCCGACCGTATTTTTTGTGGGTTTATTTCATCTAAACGGGCCAAGTATGAAATCGGCAGATGAAAGCTTTGGAACTTAGAGAATGAAGATGGGGAAATAGTGGATGAAAAAATATGGTCGGGTTCAGGTATTTTAGTATTGATCCGTTTGACATGGATGAAAAAAATCAGGTGGCAACATTTAATTGGATGTTTATTACACCTCATATTTGTGTATACACACGCGCTATATTTTTTGCATTGGTTTCAGCTTTTGTGTTAAAGTGGAACATAAGAAATAGAGTTGGAGGGCCAAATGGAACATATAAAATAAAGTTGGAGAGCCAAAATGGAACAAGGTAGAGATAAAATGCGAAAATGAAAAATGGTGCCAAGTTGGATGGGTTGTATATGTATTTGGCCTTTTCCAATCTTCTATTCAATTAAAGATGAATAACCAAATACAAATACAAACTGATTATATTACGAAAATTAGGTCAAAGTAATAATATAAAACAAGAAGATAGACAACAATGTAGAGAGAAAGAGAGGAGAGAATCTATTTCTTCCATGTATTCAAGTATATACAATGTGATGTCCAAACCCTCTATTTATAGGATGACATTGAGGTATACAAAGGGATATCATAAATATGGTATTAACTATTGAGATCATGGGGAAAGATCATGGGGAGGTTATGGAGGTGTGGGAGTTACAACTATAATGGTGAGAAGTAGTGGGAGTTATCTACTTAATGGAGAAGAGTAGTGGGAGTAACTTCTTTAGGAGTTATAGACATCCACTACAAAATAATATTTCATAACACTCCCCCTTGGATGTCTATAAATAATGTGCCTCGTTAAAACCTTACTAAGAAAAAACCCTGTGGGAAAAAATCTTAGTGAAGGAAAAAGAGTACACATATCTTGTAATACGCATTATTTGCTGCCTCATTAAAAACCTTGCCAGAAAAAACCCAGCGGGATAAAATCTTAGCTAAGGGAAAAAGAGTACAACGCGTATTTGCCTCCCCCTGATGAAAACATCACTTTATTCTTCTGAGACGATGAATTCCAAGCTTGTATAACAACTTCTCTAATATTGAGATCCGCAATGTCTTGTGAAGAAGTTTGTCAAATTATCACTTGAACAAATTTGTTGAAGAACTTTGGTGAGTGTGCTTTATTTTGACTCCTTCGATAGTCCTTCTTTCAATTGATATAAGCAAACAACATTATCTTCAGTATTATTGAAATCTTCTTTTCAAAGTCAAGTCACACGTCTGTTGTGTGTTGAGCCCCTTGTTTTATCAGTTGCTTATCTTGGCATGACTTGAATAAGTATCAACAATTAACTGCCTTGTAAAATGATAATATAGCAGTACTCTCACATGCAAATAGAATGTTTGAAGAACGAACTTCAGGAAAATGCCTGCATTTGCATAACCAACAAAATCTTGGCAATATTGGTTAGAATAAACAAATCTACATTAAGTATTTCTTTCGAAATATAATACTAATTGTATTCCAATATCTTCACATTGGAATAAAACTATATCTTGCTAGCATATTGTTATACTCATGGTTCTAGCCAGATATATTAGTGTACCAATTGCACTAGACACAAAAATAAATCATGTACGTCATGATCGCTCTAATCTACATAAGGATCTGTTGAAGATTTATTTAATAAATTTCTTGGGCACCTTAATATGCTTCAGAACAATTTAAATCATTCAAGGATTTTCATTATATGCATATCAAATGTATTGTCAGACCAAAATCTGAAATGACTCCATTCCCCACAAGAGAACATGTCTCCTAATACCAGGATATTTACGAAAATTTTGTGCCACAACTCATCTTTATGTCTATCGACTTGATTTTTCATTTCNCATAGTTTTTAGTATGTCAGAACAGTTTGAGGTTCTAAGTTTTGAAATTGGCATATAGTTTTAGAATGGTAAATTTAGAACCTAACATATTTTAAATAAAATAAATTTATTGTGGCTCTGATTTGCATTTGGTTACCCTTATATTGTTAGTAGAATAAGCAATAAACTGCAGTGCTTAAAGTCTACTAAAGTACTTTGCTGTTTGCTTTTTTTGAACTATTTGAAAAGCAGATATCCCGCTGTAATAAGTCTGTGAAGAAATATTTTCCAACCAAAAGAACAAACGTGCATGTATAGAAGATACAAACTCTGAAAAGAAACTAAAGCGACGTGATGCATATGGAAAGATATCAGCTGATGAAAAAGCAGCAATGTTATTACAACGACGCATCAAAAAAATGGAGCTAAAAAAGTGCAATGGTTGCATTAAATCAGTTATTGATTGTCCAACTGAAAGAATAAAGTGTCCACGTGACAAAATATTGTCAAAACAGACTGCTCTTACTATAAGAGAGTCTTCTTCTGGTAATGCCAAAGGTTGGATGTCAAATTGCTTCTTCTTTGCTTCTGTTACTTTGCTTGAATACTCACTTAGTGTTAAATGTGTTCCATATTTTGTGCAGTAAGCACCAACCATGAAACTGCTATTTTATCAGCTCCTCCTAATAAAGGAAAAGACGCCGGTCCCTCATTCTGTGTATTTGCAAGAGGTAAGGCTACAACATATACCTTTAACTTTGTTACTTCATCACCTCATAGGCGTGCATTTAAATTAATGAAATTGACGCACCAGGAACAACATCTGGTACATCTAAGGGACAACAAAATGCCTCCATTGAAGTTGTTACCAACAAAGGTTAGTCTTAATCGTTCGACTAACATTACTCATTATTTGAATTTTTGGTCACTTTGTCAAAACAAAGTGCACTTACTATAAGACAGTCTTCTTCTGCTAGTGTCAAAGGTTGGAATGACATAATGGGTTTTTAATATTTCTGTTACTTTACCTGAGTACTAACTTAATATTGAATGTATTTCATATTCAATGCAATAGGTGGCAGCTATGAAGTTAGTAGTTTATCAAGTTCGTTTAATAAAGAAAAAAGTATCTCCAATCCATTCTGTGTATTTGAAAGAGGTAAAACTACAACCTCCAGCTTTATCTTTGTTACCACGTCATAACTTAGGCTTACATCTAAATTATAAGAATTTTTGTTTCAGGATCAACATCTGAAACATGTAAGAGTCAACAAGATGTCTTCCCTGAAGCGTTTTCAAACAAAGGTTAGCATTACTTTTGTGTTAAAGTAACATTATACAATAGTACAATTTATCTCAATGTTTACTTTTATCAATTCTCATAATATGAATATTCACTTACTCTGAAATGTGTTTCATATTTTATGCAGTAGGCACCAACTATGAAATTCCTACTTTATCAGCTATTTTTGATAAAGCAAAGAACGCCGGACACTCATTTCGTGTGTTTGAAAGAGGTAAGGTTACAACCTCTACCTTTAGCTTCGTTACTTCATCATGCCATAGCCGTACATCTAAATTAAATAAATTGAAACACTAGGATCAACATCCGGTATATCTAAGGAACAACAAAATGCCTCCACTGAAGTTGTTACCAACAAAGGTTAGTCTTACTTTTACGTTCTGCTAACATTACTCATTATTGGAAATTTTGGCTACTCTTTATTTTTAACAATATTTATAACATACAGGTTATAGATTGAACAGAATAGTCTATATGAAAAATAATGAAAACAACTTAGATTATGCACGTTTAAGAGCCGTTCAAAATTGTAAATTTTGCAACGCAAAAAGGTTTCAGTATGAACCACCTGGATTTTGTTGTGGCAGTGGGTCAGTAAAGTTAGTTTCATATCAGCTACCTAATGAATTATCAGATTTGTACACAGGCAATAGTGAAGAATCTAAGCACTTCCGAACGTATATTAGAACATACAATAATATGTTCGCGTTTACCTCACTTGGTGTAACCAATGATAAAGATTTAGCAAGGAGATATCATGGTATATATACATTTCGAGTTCAAGGACAAATGTATCATTTTATACCTGATTTACTTCCCTCTGATAAAAAAGTTAAGAATCTGCAGTTATACTTCTACGATAACGAAAATGAACTTGCTAATAGAATGGCATGTTCGATGAATATCAACGAATCAATTGTCAAGAGACTTATGAATGTTCTAGCAGTTAATCCATACTCCATCTTTCTGAAATCCCCGGCAAACGTTCCGAAACTATCTGATTCTTATATCGCACTTAAATGTGATCCATGTCTAGATCAACGTGTATATAATTTACCTACTGCAACAGAGGTAGCTGGAATATGGGTTCAAGATAATTCTGCTGATATTGTTTTTACGCCACATATACGAATATATACCCATAGTAATAAGACGCAATCCGTGAATTACTATTACGGATGTTATGATCCTTTGCAATACCCACTATTATTTCCTTATGGTCAAAACGGCTGGCATTGTGGTATTAAAAAAATTGCACGGACAAATCAACGTTATTGCAAACATGAAGAATTACCAAGTGTGAAGAACATGTGTTCCATCGATGGATTTCTTGACATGGAAGATCAGGTCCTGAAAAAAGGAAAACGAAAAAGAGAGACAGTTTCTTGCCGTGAGTATTATTGTTACAAATTGCAGATTAGAGAGAATGACAAGAACGAAGTATTACATTGCGGAAGATTATTTCAACAATTCATAGTAGATAAGTTCATAAAGCTAGAAACACAAAGACTATATTTTTATTTTTTTAATCAAGATTTGTTTCGGATAGATATGCTACAAGGAATTATTGATTTTCTAAGACTTGGTGAAACTGAAGCTTCCAGAATTGGGAAAAAAACATTCCTTCCTGTTACTTTCATAGGAGGGCCGAGAGATATGCGTCGACGGTATATGGATGCTATCGCATTAGTCCAGCGTTTTGGAAAACCTGATCTTTTTATAACTATGACATGTAATCCATCTTGGCCAGAAATAAAACAACACTTGTTATCAACTGACGAAACTCAAAATAGACCTGATTTAGTATCACGAGTATTCAGGGCAAAAGTAGAGGAATTGAAAGCAGATATTTTGAAAAGAAATTTTTTTGGAAAAGTTGCTGCTTTTATGTATACTATAGAATTTCAAAAACGTGGTCTCCCACATGCTCATTTTCTGATCATACTTAGTGATGAATATAAATTATTAACACCTGAATCTTATGATAAGTTTGTCTGTGCTGAATTACCTAATGCTGATACCGAAAAGTATCTTTATTCCCGTGTGCTTCAACATATGATGCATGGACTATGTGGTGACTTAAATCCCACAAATTCATGTATGGGAAAAAAGGGCCTCTGCAAATTCAACTATCCGAAAGATTTTGTTGAGCAAACATCTAAAGGAAAAAATTCATATCCAATTTATAAGAGACGAAATACAGAAAAACTTGTACATATAAGAGAACAATATTTAGACAATTCATGGGTTGTCCCGTACAACCCTTATTTGCTTTGTAAGTTTGATTGTCATATCAATGTTGAGGTTTGTTCGGATATTAAAGTTGTGAAATATATTTACAAATACATTTGTAAAGGACATGATAAAATTGCTTTTTCTGTACATGGCAACGAAGAAATAGATGAAATCAAAATCGATCTGCTAGATGGGTAACACCCCCAGAGGCAGCATGGCGTTTGTTTGGTTTTCCTATTAGTGAAATGACTCCGAGTGTTTATCATCTTCAGTTACATTTAGAAGGGCAACAATTTGTTTCTTTTAAAAGTACTGAAAGCGTGAATAGAATATTAAATAATCCGATGATTAGAAAAATAATGTTAACTGAATTTTTTACTATGAATAGCAATGATGAACATGCTAAAGATATGCAATTACTATATAAGGAATTTCCAGAACACTTCGTATGGTCTCCGGGATATAAAATGTGGACACGTCGACAAAAACGTAATGTAATTGGACGTGTTGTGACATGTCATCCAACAGAAGGGGAAAGATATTATCTTAGGTTACTATTGATGAATGTAAGAGGACCAAAATCATATGAAGATCTTCGCACCGTTAATGGTGTACCTTGTAGTACATTTAGAGAATCTGCAGAAAAAGGAGGACTACTATACTGTAGTAATAGTTTGATTGAATGTATGTCAGAGGTGGTAAGCTATCAGATGCCATATAGTTTGAGACGTTTATTTGCATCATTGTTAGTATATTGCAGCCCTACTAATCCAAAAGAATTATGGGAAATGTTTGAGGATTCAATGTCCGAAGACTTTAAGCGTTTCTCGAATATCATGACACAAAGTGTTCGACATAACGTCTTAAGCCATATCAACGATATCTTATATTCTATGGGCCATGACATAAATGAGTATAAGCTTGTTCCAAAAAATATTAGACCTTCTGTGACTGCAAAGGATGCAAAAGATGTTCATTTTGAGA